ACACAATGGAGGTAAACATAGTTGCAATCAGTAGCCTTATCTCCATGAATTGGTCTAATCCCATTTTGAAGCTGTCCATGTTGGTGTTCTTCCTTGCGTCATGTGAGAGGTACCGGTAATTCCATAGTTTAACTCGGTGTTGTGTGAAGATGCACTGCTCTACATCTGTCCTAAATATGCCATCACTCAGCTTCTTGGTCACCAAGTTCTAATATTATGAGAGAGAGAGAGAGAGAGAGAGAGAGAGAGAGAGAGAGAGAGAGAGAGAACCTTCCTGCCATCTCCAGTTAAAACAGTCTCAAGTGATAGAGTTGAATAAGACTTGTGACCTTTGAGATTCTCTGCCAATCCCTTTTCGGGGTGCATAGAGTGGATCCTAAGTACAGCTGCTCAGTCATGGATACAGCTGCTCAACTGTCTCATTCCTTGAGTCAGAGCAACTGAATCTGTATCCACTGCTCATGTCCTGGTTCATGACTTGGGGCTTCCAGATTTCACAGTCCTGCCCCCGTTAGCATTTGCTGATCACCATGGGACTTTTTAGGGTTTGGGTTTGGGATGGGTTTTTAGAAGACGCCTGTGCGTGAATTTGTTTTATGTGTGTAGATCAGTGCACACTGACCAATGCCCAGTCTTCGCAGCAAGGCTCTATTCCGGTGGCATGAGTATCACGACGACCAGTAGATTCTTATCTGCTGCAGTCTTCATCCGCCTTCACAGCCATTGTATCTTCCACCTGTTCTGCCATTGAGAATTTCTTCGATCATTCTTTAGCTCCTCCCCTTTGACCTTACAGCCTTGGGTGACCTTGCTGGGAGTACGAGACTCCCGATGGCTTCGCTCACAAGGCTCATAGGAATGTGGAAGCCCATTCACCACAACAAGGTGATGATCCAGCAAGTGAGCAATCATAATACTAGTGTGTTTGGAGAAACATTCTGACATGCTAAAGCAGTTTCATAGGTACATATTCCATTTGTACATGCATGCATGCATATGAACTGAGTACACACAGTGTTCTGCAGCAGTGGTTTCCAGTGAGTTTTGCTGATTTGACCAACAGGGATAGAAGAACCACTGGAGGTCCAGCTCCATCTTCAACCAAGGGAGGGCATGTTTTCTCTTCTGACCCCAAAGGACCAAACTAACAAAGAACAAAGCCCCTCTCTCTTGAGAGATGAGATGAGTAGGGAAAAGTGATCGCCACGTAAATGGGGACGTCAGATGAGCCCTTCTGGAGCAGACCAAAGTCCTATCTAGTCCAGCATTCAATTCTAGCGGTGGCCAATTAGATATCTCTGGGAAGCCAAAAATAGGGCATGAGGATGATAACACTCTCCTGCTCATAATTCTCAGCAGCTGGGGGCAAAATTCCCCTCACCCTGGAGGTAGCATATAAACCATCACAGCTAGTACCTGTTAGGAACAGACAGCTTCAAAAGCAGCTGGAGACAGACAGGGAAGCAATCTCTATCACCTACTATGCTGTTCCCAAGACAAAGGATAGATCACTGAACAGAAGGAATAGCATGCACCTATGAAGGTGCTTTTAATTTCATGACTGCTGTCACCATCTGCAGTGATCATACGACTAAACAACAACAAATGAAAGTGCTTCATGCCAGAAACCACCAAGATTTGGAGAAGGCAAATAACACTCTCTCCTTTCCCTAGCTCCTGCAAAAAAATTATTTGACAGAGACATATATGATTTCCTTCATGGTGGTAAGCAGTTATACCCATTCATTTGCTCCAGATGTTTATTGTTTCATTTATTTTTAAACTGTTTGGAATGGGGGATTCCATTGCTAATGAGATATACATTGGGGTGGAGAAGGATAGTCTAAAGAATGGTGCAACCCAAATTATCTCTTTCCATAGCACAGCAACACTGGAATTCATCAACATCCAGTCAAGCTGAAGATTCAGGACAGACATAAAGTACTTCCTTCCCACAGCACATAGTTAAACTATGGAATTAGTTCCCACAAAATGTAATGATGGCCACCAACTTGGACAACTTTAAGAGAAGATTAGACAGGTTCGTGGAAGATAAGGTAGGAAGGAATGGCTACTCACCATGACGGCTCTGTTCTCCCTCCACTGCTGAGAACATTGTGCCTCTGAATCAGGGATGTGCAAACATTTTCTTCCAATATTCATTTGCGCTTTCATCTGGTATTTTACGATCTGGTGTAATTGCTTTATTTTGCACAAATCTACCACTTCACTGTCTTTTGCTGCAGAAAAGACAGTGCACATATTTATAACATTTCTAATGTAGCACACAACAGGCACACATATCTCAACCATCTACTAATATTTGCAAATCTTCCTTGCTTGTTCCCTTTCAAAGTTAATGAATTTCCAGAAGGGTAGCCCTATAAGGGTTGGGGGGTTTTGCGGCAAAAACAACACCATAACAACAAAGTGGCTAGGGCCAACTATGGCTGCAAACCTAACCATGTCTTCTCAGAAGTAAATCCCATTGAATTTGGTGAGGTATGTGGGGTTAGGATTCCAGCCACTTCTGCAACTTTGGTTTCGCAATTCAGTATAACCTTGTCATCCTTTTTCTCTTTTTTGTGACAAGTGAAGAGAACTTCAAATGGGGGAGAAGGACATGAATTTTAATTTAATTTTACTTCTAGAAAGAAGAGTTATGGGTGGTCAAAAATCAGCAGTCAAATCAAGCTGATTCTCCCCATTTTGACAAATATGTTAGGACTTCAACTGTGGAGCACAGGTAAAAGCTGCAGGTAACAAATATTCCACTTCTTTCCATGTGAAAAGAACAAAAATGAGTGGTGCATTCCTTTTTTAAAAAACCACAATAGGCAGCAGATTAAGGCTGAAATGCTAAACCCACTTATCTGGGAGTAATCATCACTGGATTTAATGGGTTTTACTTCTGAGTAGACATGGTTAGGATTGCAGTATTGGTGCACATAGCCTGCCCTTGGCAACAAACAACACTTCAGAAACAAGAAAAGCAAAGAGGAAGTTGCATACATCAATGAATATGTAAATAATGTACATTGCTAAACAATTTAGTTATCTCTTGGGAGAGTGAGTTAAAATTTTGATGGTAGAGAACTAAGGGAAATAGCCTTCACAGCAAAGGATCAAAGGAACAGATGGAAGGAAATTTGCTTGATAGCCCTTTTTTCAACAGATTCCTCCAACTGAATACCAGTTACTGGGGACCACAAGTGGAAAGAGCGCTGTGGCACTCAGATTGTGCTTTCAGGCTGACCCCAGGATGTTGAAGTAGATGGGCCATCGGCCTGATCCAGCAGGGTTTTTCCCCCTGATGCTCTTGTAAGCTATAAGGGAGCTGTTACTTCTGCAATGAATTAGCCTGGACCGAAAACTTCAAATAGGAGCTGAAGGTTCCATCCCTTCCTGGTTCTCCATCATACCCTGGTGCCCATTGGGACTGGTGGAGCAGAGGGCAGGAAGCCCACCCACAGGTGGGACCAGGTCCAATGACAGGCAGGGCAGAGCCAATGATCGGTGGAGCCTACTAATACTAGTTTTGTCCCCATCCTCCTCCATGCTGACTTCTACAAGACACTGAGAATGAGGAGGGGGTAGCTGACAGATGGTGCCATTCCCTGGACCAGTTGCAAGTGAGAAAGCAGGCAAGTAAAGGCAGACTGGGGCTGGCGGGACTGTGGCCCATTTGCCCATATGGACCAGCCAACACAGGCTTGCACATACTTCCCCATCCTCCTGAGTAGCCTCACATGCAGCTCTGAAACTCCTGCCTGGTTCATCACCTTATCTGTATCTCCAAGTGGCCCTTGGAGAATTGGAGAGCCAGACAAGAGCCCCAGTAACAGGTGTGGTGGCCTCTTGTCCTGGGTCAGGGATATCTGGCTCACAGGTGCTGCAGAGATCTGCTTGCTATTCTTCACAGACTGAGACTATGGGAACATGGAAAGGAGTACGGTCAGGGGACAGTTCCAAGAGTCAAATAGAGAGGCCTGGAGGGCCAAATTTGACTCTCAAGCCTGAGGTTCCCAATTCCTGAGATTTGTAGAGCTTGGTTAGTAGTTAACACATTTAATTCTTCATGTCAACAGAGCTTTTTTTCCAGCTGGAACTCACCGGAACTCAGTTCCGGCACCTCTCAGGTGGGCGCCATTGCCATTTTAAGAGAACAAGGGAGGCATTCACAGTGAGTTCTGGCACCTCTTCTTCTCTGAAAAATAGCACTGCATGTCAAGTATGAAACTTACTTTGATAGCTGAGAATTTGAAGTCTTCTGGAGGCAGGCAGTGAAAACTGAAGAGGAATCAGTTCCTGGGAACCTTTCTCTCTCCAACATTTATCTCTGCTTAACTCTCTTTTAGTGACAAAGGTTGAGAGGGAGGATTGGGGACAATTCACTGCGAAGGAAAGATAAAGTGAGTTACCAGCAGAGTTTCAGGAAAAGGGAGTTGGATGCTTCTGCTTCCTGGTGTGTTAGCTCATGGTGCCCTCCAGTCTGTCCCTGGAGGAGTCTTCAAGACGGATAGTCGGAATGCAGCTTAGGCAAGAGCGATTTATTACCAACGTCGGCTGATTTTTTATTGCAAATGTAACCGAAAGAAAAAAGAAGCTGTGTCAACTCCCATTGACAATAGGAAGGATCAATCAACCCTAATTTAAACATATATATTAATATAGTCAGTCTACATGTCCAAACAGATAACCAAATGTGATCAGCAATTATAAGATGTGTACTTAAAATGTAGACAGGACACTAAGATATACAGGTAATTGAGGAAGGGATGGTTGGTATCTATACTTCCAGCTATTGAGTGCAGGTCCTTTACAACCCTGGGGACCAGCATGCAAGACCTATTTTTGTTTTACTGACCTTTTAATGGTTATTTAGTTATTATTAAACAGTACACATGCTTCACAAGCAAGGGCTACTTTTAATGTGGTCTTCTGCAGCCATTGTCTCTTTCTCTGTGCCCATATTTCATATTTCTCCTGATCTAGGGGAGATGGAAGTCCTCAACCAGACTGAGGTCACGGAGTTCATCATGGTGGGCTTCCCAAACCTCCAGCGCTTCCACAAGCCCCTCTTCCTTTTGCTCCTCCTTGTCTACCTCTTCACCATCTTCGGCAACCTGCTCATTTTCACCATCATCCGCACCGACCCCAAGCTCCACACGCCCATGTACTTTTTCATCAGCATCTTGTCCTTCTTGGAGATCTGGTATACAGCCACCACCATCCCAAAGATGCTCTCCAACCTGCTTAGGGAAAGGAAGAGCATCTCCTTTGCCGGATGCCTCCTGCAAACTTATTTCTTCCACTCGCTGGGGGCCACTGAGTGCTACCTGCTCACAACAATGGCGTATGATCGGTACATCGCCATATGCAACCCTCTCCGCTACCCATCCATCATGACAACCAAGCTGTGTGTTCAAATGGCTGCTGGGTGCTGGATCTGTGGCTTCATGTGTCCTGTCACTGAAGTCATCCAAGCTCCCTTTCTGCGGCCCCAATAAGATTGAGCACATCTTCTGTGACTTCCCACCATTGCTCAGCTTGGCCTGCACTGACACCTCCATCAACGTCTTGGTTGACTTTGCGGTCAACGCCTTCATCATCCTAGTGACCTTCCTGCTCATCATGGTCTCCTATGTGAAGATCATCCAGTCCGTCCTGAAGATCCAGGCGGCCGAGAGTCGTGAGAAGGCTTTTTCCACCTGCGCCTCCCACCTGACGGTTGTCTTGCTCTTTTTCGGAAGCATCATTTTTATGTATGTCAGGCTGAAGAAAAGCTATTCTTTGGAATATGACAGAGCATTCGCCGTGATCTATGCTGTCCTCACGCCATTGGTCAACCCAATCATCTATAGCTTGCGGAACCAAGAAATCCTAAGAGCGATAAAGAGGAGGATCAGGATGAATATGGCAGAGCTTCTGTCATGAACTTCACCATCCTCAGCCCGTTAGTCAACCCAATTCTCTGCAAAAGAGATGGGAAGCCCAAGGACCAAATGCAGCCCTCCACACCACTCTTTCTGGCCCTCAGGCCTTTCTCAAGGCCACACAACTTCCATATCCATTGTACCAAATGCTAGTCATGCTCAGAGTGGCCCCAGTGAAATTATTGGACATGACTAACTTAGTTCTATTAATTTCAATGGGTCTACTCTCAGTAGAACTTAGTAGAGCAACAATAATAATTCTCAGTAAATGATAATACATGCCAAAACAGGATTTCCTGGGCTATATACACTATATGTAAGTTTGGGGCCCCTGCATCCCACCCACCCCACAATTTAATGACAAGAACTGCTGCTTGTTTACATATATTAACTTAGCCTAGTCTTCCTCATAAGGCTGTTACAAATATAGATATAGAGGGGATGTTCATCAAATTTGCAGATGGCACCAAACAGGGAGGAGTGACTCATACTTCAGAAGATAGAATCAGGATCCAATATGACCTTCCCTAAAAGATTGGAGAACTGAGCCTAAACTAACAAAACTTATTTCAGTTGGGACCAAGAAAATCAAGGCTCTGGAAACCAAGCTTTGTTGAGGCAACTGGGTATGTTTAGCCTGGAGAAGAGGGGACTGAGAGCTGATACAATAGCCCGCTTCAAGTATCTGAATGGCTGTCACTACTGAGAAGGCCCTCTGCCTGGTTCCCTGTAACTTGGCTTCTCACAGTGAGGGAACCGCCAGAAGGCCCTCGGCGCTGGACCTCAGATGGAGCAAGCCTGTTTTCTGCTGCCCCAGAGGGGAGGACCTTAACCAAAGGATTCAAATTATAAGAAAGGAGATTCCAATGAAACGTTAGGGAGATCTTTCTGAGGACAGTGGAACAGCAGCCCTCAGAAGGTGGTGGACTGTCCTTCCCTGGAGTTTTTTAAACAGATTCTTTAGCTGTGATTCCTGCGTTGCAAGGGGGCTGTACCAGATGGCCATTTTCAACTCTACAATTCTATTATTCTATAAAAGGGGGGAGGGGAGAAAAATATACACAGCCTTGAACATCTGTGGAATGCCCTCCCATCAGATGTCAAGGAGATCAATAACTATACAACTTTTAGAAGACATCTGAAGGCAGCCCTCTATGTTTTTATATGTGTTGGAACCACCAGAGGGGATTGTATTCTTGTGGTTGGGTCCTGCTTGCAGGCTTCTTATAAGCATCTGGTTGGCCACTGTGGGAACAGGATGCTGGACTAGATGGGCCATTGGCCTGACCCAACAGAGCTCCTCTTGTGTGCTTTTGTAATATCATTCATGCCTCATGTAAAATTTAGGACCCACGGACAATTTGGTACCCATGTCTTCCAATATATCCTGGTTGCTATAAGCACAGTTTTGCTTTCTGTAATTTATTACAGGGCAGTTAAAGTCTGCATTGTAATGTGTTGCCCTGGGCAAGAAAAAAAAGTAACAAATGTAATAAAATAAATGTCCATCATTCATCAGCAATGCTAGCTGGAACGAAGAGGAAGCAATCAGAGATACAGGGTGTTTCTCCTTCTGGAGGAGGAAACTTCTAATTAAAGGCACAGTAGCCTTGAAATGTCTAGATATGATTTGCCTATCTGGCGCTGCAATTACTATTTTCATGAAAATATTTGGCTGACTCTGAAAATAGAGAACATGAGGGATATTCTCAAATGGCTACTTCCATGGGACGTATAGGCATAATTTAAGCAACCTGTCTGGTAGCGCACATAACCCTCAAAAGCCCACCCACTTCCATTTGTAAACATGAAAAATATCAAAGTGATTGCTTTACAATAATCCCCCACACACACTTGATCACTTTATTTTGTAAGATGCCACTTTCTGACCTGGTAAGAGAGGGGGGAAACATTTTCACAAACTGGTGCCAAGGGGGTTAAGCCTGGCATAGGGACTGATTCCCAGAAATAGTATCAATCCAGCCCATTAGGTTTGTAACAATGAGCTCCCAAAGGCCAGATGCAAAATACATACGTAATCCACAGGTAACTCCTGGAATTAGGCAGCCAACCAAGTCCACATTTAAGCCACAGGTTGGAGACCCATTTGATGCCTTCCTGATCTGCTATTCCCTTGAACCTTTAAATGCTGCAGGAATCCTTGTACGAAATGAGAAGGCAGGTAAGTGCCTACTTTGGAAACGTCAGTTCTCTGGTGCTGAGTGTGCTTTCCTAAAGGGGGGGGGAGAAACATATTTTGCATTTATTGTGGGTTTCTAATTGGGAAAGCTTCTGCAGTGGAGTGTGCTATGAAAACAGAGCCCTGTTGGGTCAGGACTAAAGGTTCACCCACAACAGGTATGGGGAACCTCTGTTCCTCCGGATCACAGCTCCCATCATCTCTAAGCTTGCTGACTGAGGGGAGCTAACAACACCTGGAATTCTGCAGCTTCCCCGCCCCCCTGAACATGGTTTTTCTGGCTTTTTCAACGGTGTTTCAAATATACACAATTTCACTTAAATGTTCAGTGCCTTGGAACGTAACCCCCCATGTAAATTGGGAGTTGCCTGTATTGTTTCAGAAAGTGCAAATTGGGCAAGCTTGCCTTTAAATGTGAATGGAATTGCTCCCCCATCCCTAGAGCACACACACACATTTTATCTGCACAACAACCCTGCAAGGAAGATGAGGCCAAGACACAAGCATGGTTGGCCCAAGACCACCCAGTGGCCAAACATGGATTCAATACTGGGTCTTCCTGTTGAAGTATAACACTGTAGACTAAGAGATAGAGCCAGGGCTTTTTCCCCCAGCTGGAACACGCTGGTACAGTGTTCCAGAACCTATCAGGGACCCCAGAAGTGGAGGGAGAGACCTGACCAGCCTCAGCAAAGCCCTGTTGCACCTCCTCGAAGGAGACATCCTCTACAGACTCCAGAGAGGCTCTCCTCATGAGCTGGGGGCACAGCAGGGCTTTGCTGAAGCCAGTGTGGTATAGTGGTTAAGAGTGGTAGATTCGTAATCTGGTGAACCGGATTCGCATCTCCGCTCCTTCACATGCAGCTGCTGGGTGACCTTGGGCTAGTCACACTTCTCTGAAGTCTATCAGCCTCACTCACCTCACAGAGTGTTTGTTGTGGGGGAGGAAGGGAAAGGAGAATGTTAGCCGCTTTGAGAATCCTTAGGGTAGTGATAAAGTGGGATATCAAATCCAAACTCTTCTTCTTCTTCTTCTTCTTCTTCTTCTTCTTCTTCTTCTTCTTCTTCAGCCTCCTAGCTAACAGCTGGCATGTGGGAAAGCCATACCTCAGCTGAGCAAGCCCCATAGAAAACTAACACAGGAAAATAAAATAATAAATTCTGTCTGTCTGTCTGTCTGTCTGTCTGTCTGTCTGTCTCACACACACCTATCATCTATCTATATCTCTATCTATCTATCTATCTATCTATCTATCTATCTATCTATCTATTATCTATCTATCATCTATCTATCTATCTATCTATCTATCTATCTATCTATCTATATCTATATCTATATCTATATCTATATCTATATCTATATCTATATCTATATCTATATCTATATCTATATCTATATCTATATCTATATCTATCATCTATCATCTATCATCTATCTATCTATCTATCTATCTATCTATCATCTATCTAATCTATCTATCTATCATCTATCTATAGTAAGCAAGGCTAATTAGGTTAATTTGCTCTGAGTTTTTATGCTTGGTGTTTATTTTATTATGATTTATATTGCTTAAAAAAATAGCTTCTTATGCCCAGGACCAGGAAAGAGGAACTGGCTACTGCCCTCATGTTGGGCCAGCACTGGGGATCTGTCCGTTTATCACAGTCAGTTGTGGCCCCTGTGCTCATGGCAACAGCTGATGCAGGATTTGGGTGTGTGTGGAAAGTGAGGTGGTCATGGCTCAGGTGGCTGCAGCCGTGTAAGTGGTAGCAATGGAGTAGGAAGAGGTGGCATCACCACTGGGGATGGTTAGGGCCTGAATCACACCAAGTTGGGACATGTTAGGCACAACAGTGCAGGGGCGGGGAAGGCAGAAAGGTGAGGTCAAGCAGACCTGCTGCGGCCGCTGAGTATGTGTAGAAGAAGAACAGGAATTGCCTGCAGTGGGTGCAATCCTGCAGGCTCCAGGGATCTGCTTCACCTTTGTATTCCCTGCAGGGAACATGCTGCCAAAGCAATAGCAGCTGGAAAGAAACACACATTTCTCCTTCTCCCTGCCCCCTGCCCAACTATATAGAGGTTTTTTTAAAAAAATGTGATTAAATATTAAACCCTGGTATAAAGGGCTTATAAAGTTCCTAGGCTTGTGTTCATCAGTGTAGAAAGGGCAGTGAAGTCTTCAGATCCTGGAGTCCTTAGAGTCTATCTTTCCAGCCTTGCGGCATTAATCCATATTCAATGGCTCCTTTTGATGTGCAGGTATTTGGTTGCCACTTCTCTTTTGCACAATTCTATGTCCACAACTTAAGGGACGCGGGTGGCGCTGTGCATTAAACCACAGAGCCTAGGACTTGCTGATCAGAAGGTTGGCGGTTCGAATCCCCACGACGGGGTGAGCTCCCATTGCACGGTCCCTACTCCTGCCAACCTAGCAGTTCGAAAGCACGTCAAAGTGCAAGTAGATAAATAGGTACCGCTCCGGCGGGAAGGTAAACAGCGTTTCCGTGTGCTGCTCTGGTTCTCATGGTCATGCTGGCCACATGACCCGGAAGCTGTACGCCGGCTCCCTCGGCCAATAAAGCGAGATGAGCGCCGCAACCCCAGAGTCGTCTGCGACTGGACCTAACGGTCAGGGGTCCCTTTACCTTTACCTTATGTCCACAACTCACATTTTTCCAGATCAGGTTCTAGAGGAGATGGGAATTCTCAACCAGACCGAGGTCACCGAGTTCATCATGATGGGCTTCCCGAGCCTCCAGCCCTTCCACAAGCCCCTCTTCCTTTTGCTCCTCCTCATCTA